TCCCCTCTTCGGCATCGGCGCGGCAGGAGGAATCGAGGGAAGATCTCCAATCGAGGGCGGCGATGGCTACTCGAGCTCTGAGTACTCCAGCGACAACGACGAGTTCATGGAGCCCGCACTGTCCATGGAGCAGCGGGTACGACTGGCAAAGCAATGGGTGGCGAACCCTAGCAATAGCCACGAGCTGACCCACGGGCTCGGCGGCGTCCTGTAAGTTTCTGTTTCTGTCTCTTTTTTTTTCTTCTCGTTTATTTGCTAATTAGGGTTATAGTGTACTGATTAGGCAAATTGCATGTGAATTGTAGTTTATATGAAGACATATGGAATGTTAGGATCCATTTTGACAATAATGATCTGTTAGAGAGGAAATTAAGCTGTTCAGATGTGACATATCTGAATATGGTTGCATTGATGGAAACCCAAGGCTTTAGTATTGATGTTTTACATGGAGACCCCAGGAGAGCAGGGCTTGGAATTGGTTGATAGTAATGTTAAACTACAGTTGATCAAGAGGCAGAATGAGGAGAGTTTGGTGCTTAATTTGCTATTTAGGGCTTGTCCACCAGCTGTCAGTGTACCACAGAAGGGTTTTGTACAGAAGCAAAATTTAGATATAACTGAATATTCTGAGCCTGTTGTTTTTGATCTTGTTGATCCTCCTGTTTATGCTGTTGATCAGCAAGGTGTTGCTTATGAAGGTCAGAGTAGCTGTTCTATTGCAGCTGTAGGCCCTGCTGTTTTAACACAAGAGGGCAGGAGTGTTCTAAATCCCAAGTTAAAAGAAGTTGTGGAAGAAGAACAAATTGTCTATGATGGCAGTTATGCATGTTCATCTGAAGGATCTGAAGGGCAGTATGATAGTGACATGGGGGATTTAAGGCCTAACTATAACGAGGAAATGCATGATGTTGAAGACATGGAGATGGAAGAGGGAAATAGACAGAGAGAGGAAGAAGTAAAAGAGCAACATGAGGAAGAAACAGAGGATGAAGAATCAGAAGAAGAATTAGAGGATGAAGAACAAGTGCATTATGAGGGTGACACAGAGGTAGAGGAATTATTTGAGTTGGAGGATGATGACCCTATTGTTCCAGAAGAGGAGGAAAAAATATATGTGCCAGCAAAGAAGAAGCAGAAGTTGCAAGTAAGGAGGGGACCAACAACAAGGTCACATTCCAGTGTTTTAGAAGAAGTGCAACCTGATTGGAAACCATCATCAGATGAAGAAGATAATAGTTTATTGAAGGACAGTGAAGATGATGGGTTTGAGACACTAGCATTTCTGCTACCTCAAAAAAGGAAGAGTAGGGCAAAGAAGAGGCCAGCTAGAGTATGGTACAATGAGGATTTGGAGCAACCACACCAACAACTAAAACTGCATATGTGCTTCAAAGATCAACATCAATTTAGAGATGCTCTATTGAGCTTGCACATCACTCAGTGCAGAGACTTCAAGTATCACAGGAACTCAGATCAGAGAATCATTGTGCATTGCAAGAATGAACATTGCAAGTTCTGCATTGTGGCAGCTGTTATAAAAGGGGAAAACACTTTTGTAATTAAGAAGATGAGGATACAACACACCTGCCCTAGTTCTACTGAAACAAGCAGGGTAAGTGCAAAATGGCTTGCAAAGAAATATGAGCCACTATTCAGATCTGATGTCAGTACTAGCATACATACACTTATTGATGCCTGCATGGAAAAGTATGGTGTGGATGTGCCCAAGGCTATGGCCTATAGGGGAAAAACTTAGTTGTTGAGGCTGTGTTGGGAGATCATAGGAAGCAATACCCAAGGCTGAGAGACTATGCTCAGACTGTGATGGATACAAACCATGGGAGTAGAGTTATAGTCACCACTGTAACTACAAAAGCCACTGAAAAAATCCCACATCCAGGACCAAGATTCCATGCCATGTTTTACTGCATCAATGGAGCAAGGGAGGGATTTCTACAGGGCTGTAGACCATTCATTGGTTAGTTCATTTTAGCTTGTACACTACTTTGATGTTGTTAGTTTCAATAGGTTGCACATATAAATGCATTTGACATGTTATGTTTACTTCCTGTTTTAGGTATTGATGGGTGTTTTATCAAGCTGACCACTGGTGCACAAATCATTGCTGCCACTGGTAGAGATGGCAATAACAACATATACCCACTGGCATTTGGCATTGTTGGACAAGAGGACAAAGAAAACTGGTGCTGGTTTCTACACCAAGTGAAGATTTGTCTTGGAGGAGAAGTTGGACAGTATGGTCCATATACTATAATGTCAGAAAGATAGAAGGTATGTTTATCCACCTTGCATTGCCTGCTAAATATGTGTTTACATGTGTATTAGACAGTAGCTTAGCTATTTAAATTGTGTGCACCAGGGGCTATTGTATGCAGTGAATAGAGGTTTTCCTAACAGTCATCAAAGATTCTGCTTAAGGCACATATATGCAAACCTCCAGAATGCTGGCTTTAGGGGGGAGGACCTTAAGAAGTGCATGGATAATGCCAGTTATGCATATAATGAACACAAATTTAATAAAGCAATGGATGATCTCAAAGCTGAGAGTGTGGAAGCTTGGCAGTGGCTTAGTGCAATACCCAAGAAAACATGGGCTAGGCATGCATTTGACACAAATAGCAAGACGGACTTGGTTGTCAACAATTTGTCAGAGGTGTTTAACAAGTACATCCTAGATCATAGGAAAAAACCAATAAGAACTATGTGTGATGGCATAAAGGATAAGCAGATGGTTAGGTGGCACAGGAATAGAGAGAGTGGAAGGGAAGCTAGATGGGAGATCACACCACATTACAGTGAGAAGTTGGAGATTGAAAAGGAAAGGGTCAGGTACTGCAAACCCATTCAAGCAGGTGTTAACTTGTGGCAAGTAACTAGTGGTGAGCAAACACATGCTGTCAATTTGGAAGTTGAAACCTGTGGTTGCAGAAAGTGGGACCTCACTGTCATCCCATGTAACCATGCCATCTCAACAATCAACAAGGCAAAAAGGTTTCCAGAGGACTTTGTAAGCAAATTCTTCAAGAAACCATATTACTTGGCAGCATATGAACCAATGATATATCCTGTCCCTGGTGAGCATGATTGGACAAAGACCCCATGTCCAGACATAGAACCACCAGCATTTAAAGTGACGAAAGGAAGAAGGAAAGAGAAGAGAATAAAGGGAAAATTTGATGTTCCAAAGCCAAAGTCCACCTCAAGAATGGGGACAATAACTTTTAGCAATTGTGGATTACAAGGGCATAAATACACAAGCTTCCTTAAACAGTTGAAACCTGAGTTGGCCTTAAGAAAGAACAAACATGTGGTAAGGCCCTTTGTACTAGTTCTTCATTTTGATGTTTCTGTAAATTACCTTTCTTATTTGTTGTATTATTAACTATGTTTCCTTTGAATTGTTTTCCAAGCCTGCTGGAAGGAATTCACAAGCAAGAGGTGTTGCTCCTACAGCTCCTGCAACAACACCTAGAGCTGCTTCAGCAACAGCTAGATCTCCTACACCAACAACTAGGGCTCCTGCACCAACACCTACAGCTCCTGCACCAACACCAAGAGCTGCTCCACCTGCAACAACTAGGGCTCCTGCTCCAACACCAGGTGGAAGAACTGGAAGTGCTGCTGGTAGAGGTGGTGGAAGTGGTGCTGGTAGAGGTGGTGGAAGTGGTGCTGGTAGAGGTGCAAGAAGAAGGGCTGGTGGTGGAAGAGGATCTGGAAGAGCATCTTCTAGTGCCAATGGATATCTTGATGGTTCTGTTGGGGATAACTTGATGGTTGATGGATTGATGCCACTTGGGTGGATAACTTGATGGTTTATGTTCATACTGTAATGGCATTGTTTTTCTATTTGGCCATGTGGATGAACCAACCATAACCTAACCATGATTGTTTACGGTGGCTCGGGGTCTACGGAACCACCTTAACCTAACCATGATGGTTTACGGTGGCTCGGGGTCGACGGAACCACCTTAACCTAACCATGATGGTTTACGGTGGCTCGGGGTCGACGGAACCACCTTAACCTAACCATGATGGTTTATGGTGGCTCGGGGTCGACAGAACCACCTTAATCTAACCATTAGGGTTTACGGTGCCTCGGGGTCGACAGAACCACCTTAATCTAAC